CGTAATTCAAATTTTAATATGTTAGGATTTGCAATGATCGACGGGTGGTCGGATATTTTTTGGAGGGGAGTGTACATTCCGATAATGTGTGTAAACAAAATAAAGTTCAATTAAAGTTTTACCAATCAAGTTTTCATTACGAATTATACATAAAAAGACGACAACTATTGTATGTATACATGTGTATTTATAGATGTCTTTCCTTTTTCATTAGTTTGTTGTAATTTCAAAGATATAATACATGTATAATACTTTTCTTACCAAATTCATATTATTGTACATCTAATAACTTCTTTCAATACCAAACTTTAATCTTGTCAAATGCCTCTTTATTTATAATAGGTTTTTCGAGTAAAGTAATTTGCAGGTGTGAAAATAGTATTACATACAAGAAGTTCAAAAAATTATCGAAATATAACATCCGGATTTAGATATAAAATGGGGATGTTCGGCCAATAACCATAGTATTGGTTGATAGACATTTCATGTAAATTATAATTTCAATGCGACTTAGTAAAAAATTTATTAATTTAAAAAGAAAAAACAAAATTTTCAAGCCAGGTAAATATTTCAATCTTTATATATTGGGAAATATAAAAAATAAATTATTCACAATTTCACCAATTGCCTCTTTTACTATATGTATAATAAATAGAGCGAAATTTCTAGTAAGACAACAAAACTGCGTCAGGTGATTTAAATAAAAATCGCTAAATTTTATCTGAAACAACCTCGAAATAATATCCTTATTAAGTTATAACGGAATGGATTTATTACGCTAGATGAAAAATAAATGAACTTATAACAAGGTCAACTTATAAAAAATGTTTTATATGCATTACAATACTTTTTGAAAACCAACAAAATAAATTTTCTTCTCGAGTTTTAGTGGATTTATTAGAAAGGCTAGCAAACCCTTCACTATTCAAATATCACTCAAAAGAAATCATAACAAGATTAGAATTACATTTACGTACTTAGATAGCGGTCTAAGTGCACATACAGTGTATGTCACACGAATAGTTCTTGGAAAAGTAATTCGAGATCAAGTTTACAAATCATTAGCAAAGTTTGCGAAACTTCATTGTAAAGCGTCACAAGCTAATGAAGGAGGATTTGATAGCCTTAAACCAAATTTCAACCCATCATATCAACAAAAAAGTGATGATGATAAAAATTAGAACTTTAATATATTGACTTTTTATTAATCCATTTGCGGGATACACTACATAGTCTACGAGATGACAAAACTTGTTATCAAGAACTTTTAAGAAATACCAAAAAATGTTAAAGTCCGCTTTAAATATTACATCGAAGCTTGTATCAAAGTAACCCCAGTCCAAATTGAGTAGTGGCGGCTTACTATGTAGATTGGAGGATTATGTCAACAATTAAATATAAACTTTTTTGATTGATAGAAAGTGATGAAATTAGTAAAAAAACGGAGAAAGGATCTTGATGGAATATCTTTGGAGTTACTCAGAATAATGCCGTATATAATACCATATTAGATTCTCAGACAAAATTCGATAAAGTATCGCCAAAATTTTAAGAAATAACGGGGTTTCTTGAGCGATCTTACTGGAAATGAACCACTTGCATTACCGAATACATTATTCTAAATCGACTCCACCGTATATACAGTATATTGACTTTGTTATTATTTGGCGATTGAATCTCTCAATAAGGCAACGAGCAGCTTCATTCAGCATAAAGAAATTGAGGTATTATATACTTGCGAAACATTGATTATATATCATTTTCAATGATAGAACTTGATTTTGATCAATAGTCTTAAAAATTAGCAACTAATTCATCAATCGATTCCTAAGAAAAATTTAAAACCTTATTGAAATTTGTTAAAAAATGTCATGAAGACTTTTGTGTCCTAAATAATGAGAATGAAAAGGGAAAGGAAAAGTTTGGATTAAAAGTATGAATTTAAAAAGGAACAGTCATTAAATTTCGTTAATACTTTAAATGATAATGCAGATGAAATGACTTGCTCAATTGGCAACGAACCGGAAGATTAACTATGTATTTTTGTCAACAAGTGAATATCATTAAATAATTTAAAGAAATTAAGACAAAGAAATTGTCTTAGAAGTCAAGAAAATATTGAAGCTAATGTCAAATATTTATCACAATATACTATTTACAAAAATCTATATTCATACCTTTTAGAGGCTGGTCATATTTTTACCTTCGATTGAATTAGAAGATTAAAACCAGATAAACGACCTCATAGTTCCTGCATGAAGCCAACCTATACCTATTCCTTCCTTTTTGGGAACGGTCATAGCTTACACTATAAAGTGGAATCATTCTATTAAAGATTAGATGGTGAATCAAAGATCGAGTTACCATGGAATTCTAGTCAGAAAGTGTATCATGGATTGCTTTTGAAAGGTACTAGACAGTTGAGGAAGGGATATAATTCAATAAAGATCGAATTCCACTAGCATTCAATTCTATATGATATCCTTGCCAACGACATGAAATAATTCGAGATTAATAAACGGTTAAAAACAAGTTCATACGTGCATAGTCCTTCCCTGCATCGATAATAGTTACGTTTGAAATTTTGCGTGTAGCAATTTGTTTTTATTTCATAAATTATATATTTTAATAAAAGAATATTTATAAAGCAAAATTTGAACCATTGATTGGTTTGCGAATTGAAGGAAGATGACAAAGCTAACGTGGCTATTGCCGTATGTTACATATATATTTATAATAAAATAAAAAAAACAATGCGCATTAATTTAACGTTAAAACAAAAAGGTTATAATAACTAACATACGTTTTGACGTACAAAATTTTAGCTGAAATGATTCCGAAGTAAATTTCGTATAGATTTCTAGATTTATATCCTAAAAATGGGTATGTAATGATATTCCAAGATGAACTGGCACTGAAATTATCCGTTACCAATTAACAAAGCGAACTCATTGAACTAACTTTCTCAGGATTTATCATTTTTGGTCATACCTATTTCTTACATTCTGAATTTATCCTTATCAGTTTGACAATTTTTATAACATATAATTAAAACGGATTATTTCAGTGCCGGTGTCTAATTGCAAAGTTATACTGCGCCTCAATTACGTACACTGCGACGTTATCTATTTAGCAGAGCAGATCATATATTATACTTCTTTTGCATTATTTAATTTTAATTTATATTATTTTCATTATTTGTATGATTTATTAATATAGAAAGGTGTAGTTTAATATCAGTCCAGAATTTTATACCTAGAGTCGACAGAGTTTTACTCAGGGATTTTGGGACTAGACTTATAACTCTACAGATAATATTTTACACTTTCAACCTTCTTCATGTCATCATATAAGGATTTGATAACTACACCATGAATCATAATAAATCGTTTGTTTATCGTAATTTCTCATGGGAAGGGCCTTCGAGATATTTAAGTTATTAGATATTTGGTTTGTTAGCTTGTTTTCGGTAAAATTTCTGGCCTAACAACAGATTGGCACATCAATCATTTTTTTTCTAGAATTATGATACTGATAAATACGGATAAAATTATTAATTTTACGTTCTCTAAATATTAAGCGCCCATTATGTTTGTTTTGCATCAATTCGTTAAAATAAATCAAATAAAACACGTTTAACTTAATTAACTAAAGATTTAAATTTAAACAACATTACCAAAAATCAGTTAATATTTTGATAGACATTTAAAATACAACTACAATTCTTTTGATGAGACAACTATATAGTCCATACATTTAGTTTGAATTCAATAAAATGTGTATATTATTTGTACTCCAAAACCATTTTCTTTTGTAAGCTTATCATTAGGACGCAACCTAGACATTAATTTCACAATAAATATATCTTTAAATTATAATTTTAACAAGATAGTATTGCTTTATTAAAAAAAAAAAAAATATTCAAACGGATTATATGAGCTAAAGTCAAATTAAAACATAATACTAATTCTTTATTTAAAAAAATATTCTTTCAGAATTTCTTTAATTATTCAGCATTTCGGGTTCGATCGGTATGTTTTTCCCTAGAATCATTTTTAGATTTGGGCTGCAGCGATCGAACGACTTTATTCATTTCTAATTGAGATCTCTTTCGCCATGGATCTCTTTGGAAGTACGCGGTATAGTTTATTTTAGTTTATTTTTAAATCACAGCGATCAAATATTTTTGTAGATTTTTTTTATTACTTTTTTTGATCATTGAGCAATCTTTTTTTCCTTATTTATATGAAATTTTCTTTTTAATGTTTTTATTTTTTTACTTATAGGTGATTCCTTCACTACAGGTTATTATTTTTTAATATACAAAATTGACTATAGCCGATCACTGCGCCACTTAAAAATATTCGAATATTTTTTTATTCTGATAGAATTGAAAAAAAAGAAAAAATGATTAAACAATAAAATTAAATTAAAAAAAAAAAAATTTTTTTAAAATTAAAAATGATGTGGGGCTCCGCAGGAGCCCGAATCACAAATCAATTTGATTCCCAATTTAGCTATGTTGTACCTCAAATGCGTTAATATCCGATCCGAAATGCACATTTCGGATATTAACGCAACTGAGCGGTTGGAACTTGAGCATTTAGTACGACGCTATATAAATAGTCTTCATTCATATACCCAATGAAACTGATCGATAACAAATGTTGTTTCACTAAATATGCCTTTTTTTACGTTTTACGAATTAACTCTATCTGCACTTTGCCGATCTCTGTCGGCAATGTCACATTATAATGCTTGAACTTTCGTCTCACTTAATTACTAAAGAAAATAAAGTTCAAGTCGTGAAACATAAAATGTTAGAATTATATCGAATTAGAATGTTCCGTAAGTTTTTTATGAATATTTGTATAAATATTCAGAATCTTTTTTTTTTTTTTTTTTAAGTATTGTAAAATATATAAACTTTGTCATAAACAAATAAAAATTAATTATTTTTTTTATAAAAAACATAAAAGAGATCGTATTATGAATTCTTTTGATAACATTTGCAAATGGCGTGCAATATATTTAAGGAAAGTTCCCTTTCGTCAATTTAAAAATATTGAATATATGGATGATGATGGTGTTTCCAAAGTTTATGACGGAAGTTACAAAGTTTATAATGGAATGACCAAAGATTTTACAGCTTTATGGTTTAATGATGATGTAGATATAATGGGTTCAAAGGGTGTTATTCTCAAAAATGTTGGTAATTATGAAAATCTGCGATACAAGGTAAAAACAATTATTTACAATATTATATTATTAATTCAAAATACTTATTGATATAATTTATTGTTTAAAAAATTTAGCCTAATTCGAATAGCCGTATTAACTATACTGTAAATCCTATTACAAATGAATATATGATAATTATGGATTTAAATTGGTATAGACATAGGCAACTTTTATTAGATATTGTATCATATAAAGTTGAAAATAGAGTTTTTGGTAATTTTATCAAAAATGAAAATACTTCAGTTATTATTTTAGATTATTTTTGCAATACTAATATTAAAGAAATTGATAAAATAATAGAGTTTATCTTTTATGATCAATTTAAAGATATTATTAAATTTGATAATATTTATAAAGCTACTTGGATTGATGGTAATATATATGGTTGGGATGATCAAAATTCTAAATTTATTAGAAGAGGTTCTATACAAGTTTTTCTAAAAAAACTTATTAATTCTGAAGATATTACTATTGATAAGCTAGAAAAGGTATAATTTATTTACAATATGTATTAAGTAAAAAAATTAAAAATTTATTAATTTATTTTTCCAAAAATTATTTAGTATTACTATTATAATAATCATTATTTTAAAAATAAAATAATTGGAATTACTCAAAATCCTATTACAAATGATTATATGATGATTTTAATTTTAAATTGGAAAAATAATAAACATTTATTAATAGATAATTTATTAAGTAAAACTGAAAATATATTAGTTAATAATTTTATCAAAAATAGAAATAGTAATATTACTCAAGTAAATGAAATATTTGAGTTTGTTTTTTATAATCAATTTAAAGATATTATTAAATTTGATACATTTCATAAAGCTACTTGGATAAATGCTAATATTTATGATTGGAATGATCAAAAATGTGAGTTTATGAGAAAATGTTCTATACATATTATTCTTATAAAGCTTATTAATTACAAATATATTACTTATGAAGAATTAAATGAGGTAATTGTAATTTATTATAATATATATTAAAATAAAAAAATTTATTAATTAAGTTTTTCTTAAAAATTTAGTCCTTTTTAAATAGTCAGTATAGATATAATTGTTTTGGAATTACTCAAGATCCTATTACAAATGATTATATGATGATTTTAAATTTAAATTGGAAAAATTATAAGCAATTTTTTATAAATAATTTGTTAAATAAAAGCGAAAATAATGTTATTGATGATTTTATCAAATATAAAAATAATTATAATATTACTCAAATTGATAAAATAATTGAGTTTGTTTTTTATAATCAATTTAAAGATATTATTAAATTTGATAAATTTTATAAAGCTACTTGGATTGATGGTAATATATATGATTGGAATGATCAAAATTTTAAATTTATAAGAAGAGGTACTATACAAATTATTCTTAAAAAACTTATTGAATTTGAAAATATTACTTTTGGAGAGTTAAATAAGGTAATTATAATTTATTACAGTATATTTTAAAATACATAAATATATCAATTAGTTTTTTTTAAATAATTTAGTCTTATTTTAATAACCAAAATAAAAATGATTGTTTTGGAATTACTCAAGATCCTATTACAAATGATTATATGATGATTTTAAATTTAAATTGGAATAATCATAAGCATTTTTTTATAGATAATTTATTAAATAAAAGTAAAAATAAAGTTATTGATGATTTTATTAAATATAGAAATAATAATATCACTCAAATTAATGAAATAATTGAGTTTGTTTTTTATAATCAATTTAAAGATATCATTAAGTTTAATAAATTTTATATAGCTACTTGGATTGATGGTAATATATATGATTGGAATGATCAAAATTTTAAATTTATAAGAAGAGATACTACACAAATTATTTTTAAAAAACTTATTAAATTTGAACATATTACTTTTGAAAAATTAAATAAGGTAATTATAATTTATTTAATATAAATTATAATAAATAAATTTACTAATTAAGTTTTTCTTAAAAATTTAGTCCTATTTAGATAGTCAGTATAGAAATAATTGTATTGGAATTACTCAAGATCCTATTACAAATGATTATATGATAATTTTGAATTTCAATTGGAATAATAATAAGCATTTTTTAATAAATAATTTATTAAATAAAAGCGAAAATAAAGTTATTGATGATTTTATTAAATTTATAAATAATAAAGTTACTCAAATTGATGAAATAATTGAATTTATTTTCTATAATCAATTTAAAGATATTATTAAATTTAATAAATTTTATAAAGCTACTTGGATTAATAGTAATATATATAATTGGAATAATCAAAATTATGAATTTATGAAAAAAGATTCTGAAAAATGTATTCTTATAAGACTTATTAATTCTGAAAATATTACTTTTGAAAAACTAAAAGAGGTAAATACAAATTATTTATAAATTATATTAATTTATAATGTATTTTATTAATAATATTTATTTTAATAAATTTAGTTCTATTTGAATAGTCAGTATAGAAATAATTGTTTTGGAATCACTCAAGATTTAATTACAAAAGATATTATGATAATTTTAAGTTTAAATTGGAATAATCATAAGTATTTAAGTAAAAGTGGAAATAAAGATATTGATGATTTTATTAAATATAAAAATAATAACATTACACAAATTAATAAAATAATAGAATTTGTACATTATGATAAATTTAAAGATATTATTAGATTTGATAAAATTTATAAAGCTAATTGGATAGATGGTAATATTTGTAATTAGGATGATCAAAATTTTGTATTTATGAGAAAAGGTACTATACAAATTATTTTTATAAAACTTATTAATTTTGAAAGACATATTATGAAACAACTAAAAAAGATAATATCAATTTTTGAAACTCTAAAAGCGGTAAATACAATTTATTTACAATATATATTAATTCAAAATAATTTTATTAATACTATATTTATTTTTAATAAATTTAGTTTTATTTAAATAATCAGTATGCAAATAATTGTTTTGGAATTACTCAAGATCCTATTACAGAAGATGTTTTGATGATTTTGAAGTTAAATTGAGAAAATCATAAATATTATTTAATAAATAATTTATTAAGTCAAAGTACATATAAAGATATTAATGATTTTATCAAAAATAAAAATAATAATATTACTCAAGTTGATAAAATAATGGAATTTGTACCTTATAATCAATTTAAAAATATTATTAAATTTGATAAATTTTATAAAGCTACTTGGATTAATGGTAATATTTATGATTGGAATGATCAAAATTATGAGTTTATAAGAAAAAGTTCTATATAAATTATTCTTATAAAACTTATTAATTATAAAAGAATTACTTATGAAAAGATAAATAAGGTGAATAAAATTTATTTACAATATATTTTAATTTAAAATAAACTTTTAATATTATTTTTTGTTTTAATAAAATTAGGCTTATTTAAATAGTCAGCATATAAATGATTGTTTTGGAATTACTCAAGATCCTAATACATATGATTTTATGTTAATTTTGAATTTAAATTGGAATAACAATAAGTATTTAAGTAAAAGTGGAAATATAATTATTGATGATTTTATCAAATATAGAAATAATAATATTACACAAATTGATAAAATAATAGAATTTGTATTTTATAATAAATTTAAAGATATTATTCAATTTGGTAAAATTTATAAAGCTACTTGGATTGATGGTAATATTTATGACTGGAATGAACAAAATTTTGAGTTTATGAGAAAAGGTTCTATACAAATTGTTCTTAAAAAACTTATTAAATCTGAAGGTATTACTTTTAAAAAGCTAGAAAGGGTAAGTATAATTTATTTACAATATATATTTTCAAATAAATTTTATTAATATTATATTTCCTTAAAAATTTAGTCTTATTTAAATAGCCGTTATAAAAATAATTGCTTTGGAATTACTCAAGATCCTAGTACAAAGGATTTTATGATAATATTGAATTTTAATTGGAAAAATCATAAGCAATATATAATAGATAATTTATTATGTCGAAGTGGAAATAAAGTAGTTGATAATTTTATCAAATATACACAAACCAATAGCCTTCTAACTACCAGGATAATGGAATTTGTTCCTTTTGATCGATTTGAATATGTCGAATATATTGCTGCAGGAGGATTTAGTAAAGTTTATAAAGCTATTTGGATTGATGGTAACATTCTTAATTGGAATAATGATGATTTCAATTTAATACGAAATGGTTCCATGCAAATTGCCTTGAAACAACTTATTAATTCTGAAAGCATCACTTCCAAAGAATTGAATGAGGTACAGTATATCAATTTAATTATAATAATTTATCTTGACATTTAAGGATTGCTATTAATATATATTTGTTTCTTTTCAAAAAAATTAGCTTAAAGTTTTTTATAATTGTACGACACAACTTAATTACTTGTATGTAAATAATTACTTCGGAATTACCCAAGAACCTATTACAAAGGATTTTATGCTAATTATGAAATATTGTAAATCAGATCTGAAGAATTATTTAGCAAATAAATTTTACGATATTAATTGGAATGAAAAATTGCGAATATTGACCGATATTATTAAGGGTCTTGAGTCCTTTCATCATGCAGAAATAACTCATCGAGATCTTCATTGTGGAAATATTCTTGTTGGACGTTGTTCTCAGGTTTTATCTGATTTTGGACTAAGTAAGTTTTCAACGGATGATGATGAAAATGGTAACATTTATGGAATTATGTCTTATATCGCTCCAGAGATTTTTCAAGGGAAAAAATACGATACAGCTTCAGATATATATAGTTTTGGCATGATTATGTGGGAAATAATGAATGGTAGAAGGTCTTTTTGGGATGAAATTCATGATGGTGGACTCATTGTTAAAATTTGTGATGGCTATAGACCTCCGATTGTCACAATTGCACCCGAAGGCTATATTAAATTAATGCAAAAATGCTGGGATAATGATCCAAACAAAAGACCAAATGCTCTTCAAATACGAATTACAATTCTTAAGATTATTGATAATGAATTG